TCTGTCAATTCATAATTTCTGGGTTGCTCCGTAAGTTGTTTCTCTGTTGAGGAATTCCTGCTAAAGGAACCACATGAGCAATTTTATTTTCAAAGTGTCTTTCAAATTTCACTGTGATTGAAAGTAACACCACAACTACCTGTACACCAGAAGGCAACAGGCCTTGGACTGCTGCTGGTGTCATGCATTTCAGTGACTGACAAGTTCTGTTCACAAGGATAGGATTCTCCATATGATTTCCCAGATATTAGTCCCTTTGGAATATTTTGGGAAGCCCTTTACTATTTTGGATTGGGGGAAACAGGTGGATGTTTACTTAAAGACGTGATGGTTGAAGGAACACTGAATTACCTCTTAAAAGTAAGGCATTGGCTGTTATTTAAACAGCAGACAATAAGAAGAGTAATACACACAAATAACTTTTCTACCCTTAGAAGTGAATAAAAAGGCCAAAGCCACAATTGTGTTTGTGAGGGCATTCACCTTTCTGAAATGACCCAGATTCTACAACTGAATTGTTTTGTTGATGATACCATTCCATTAAAAGGTTCTCTCTCTGGTGACACTCATCCAAATTTCCCAGCTTGCTTCTAGACTTCATATCATCTCAGTTAACAATCACATCATTTTCTCCTCACTGGTCTATGCAATAATTGCATGGCATTTCAGCCAAGTTCCAGGCCAAACAAGCATAGCTGTTGAATGCCAAATAAATAGGCATTACAATGAAAGTTTCTAGGGAAAATTACTTCCAGGGCTATAGCTGTGTTAGTCTCCTGCAGCAAGAACAACCACGATTCTTGGGGCAACTTAAAACGTAACAAATTTTCTTTGTCATAGGTTTCATATAAAGGCTTGCACTGAGGAAAATTAACTACATATTAGAGTCCCACAAGACACTTTGTCTTTCAGGGAGGACTTGTTTTATTCCTAAATGTCTTCAATAATTGTACAAGAATAACTGCAGGTGTTTTGAAAGGTTGGATCCTTCTCAAAAGAATTTTTGTTTTTGGAAAGATAAATGTCAGTGGGACCTATAACTACAGCTGGGGACATGCTCCTTATGACAAAAACCTTCTACAAGGGGGATGGGCTATACATATATAAAAAGGGAGTGCTACAAAACCTGCACAGACTCTAAAAACAAACCATGACTCCTATAGGGCTTGTCTGTTAACACATAAATATACTAGTTTTATATTTCTTGGAAATAGGATTTTTTTCCCAATTAAAATCTCCAGCCAAAATCCTTTGGTATCCACTGCTAATAGAAGATGGCTTTCTCTGGTTCCTCCTGCTACAAGATGGCATAGTGCCAAAAAAACTACTCCAGAGGATTTTCAGACTATCCAGAGTAGGGTTTTAGAGTGTGCAAGGGACCACAGAATGATCAGGTGCTTGTAGATCCAGGTGGAATCACTGGGATCCAATAGAAGCACACCATGAAGATTCTGGCCTCAGTCGCAGGGCTGCCACATTGATGGATGCTGTTTTTATGTCATTCTGTGAAAATATGACAGGATTTGCAAGCATCTGCCCTTTCTGTAGACTGAAGTGATCTTGTGACTGTTGAGCAACATGTCGAAAGTGTGTGGATTTTATTTTTCCTTTCTCTATCACAAATACTTTGGTTCATGGAACTAAAGCTGTACGTGAGCATGGGGCTAAAACCCTCAATGCCATTGGTGGAACAGTCTTGCGGTTGGCTACCAAAACATTACAAAATGATAGAAACTTGATCATATTAAACACAAAAGTGACCACTAGCTACAGCACTAGCACTAGCTACAGCAACTGCTATGCTCTATGCCTAACTTCAGCACCAAGATATTGCACAATATTATATTTAAATTGTTCTCCAAAAACCTTTTATATTATAAAGGATTTTCCTTTTCTACTGCAAATGCCATAGCAAGCTATTTTCTATAAGAAAGAAAATGAAGCCCACAGTTCTCTGCTAGATTTAATATGCTTGCTTTTAAAGCAATAGGCCAAAGATGAATAATATGTTTTCTTTTTTTTAAGTAGTAAAGCCAACCGTCATGGCCCAGCAAAGCGTGAAATCTGTTTTAGTAGCTAGTAACCATAAAAATATAGCTACTCAGCTGTACTATTTCCTTTCCTTTTAGAAACAAGTTTCACAAACTTGCACATGCTGTGGTGCAAGCTACTAATATTTTTCAGGATTTATCATTCCCAGAATATATTCATTGCATTTTAAAAAGAAATATGTTTAGCAAAGGAGCCCTGGTTTTAAATAAACCTGATTGCACTGTAAGAAATACCACTTTTCATTCACTAACTTCACACTAATTACTTTTGAGTGTAAGAACAATGTGGTGATTTCCATTTAAAGATAGTAAAAAACTGAATAAAGTGTCATTAGTTTACTCCAACACAGGAGTCTAGAATTATTTCATTATTTCATCTAAAAATATAGATGTAACATCCCCTCATACAAAAAAACAAACAAAGAATATAAGGCAATTTTGAACAATTTCACATTCACCTCACAGAATCATAGTGTGACATTTCAGCTACAGTAAGGTCTTTTACCCTTGCCCTGGCACGGATAAAGGGCCTTAATGTAGTTTTAAATATGATTTACATTCACTCTAAGGTCCTTTTACTCTATGTGAACTACATAAAAGGCCTAATGTAACTATGAATCAGACTTAATAATTTAAAAGTTATTTAGGACCTGCCTTCTAGCTCATTTAAGCAATGTGCACTTGCTGAACATGAATATAAATGCCCTCTTTCAGAGAAGACAGATTTCCTTCCTTTTGTACATCTCTACAGTTATAATCCATTAGAACAGACAAATTTTTCATTATCGCACTTTGTAGTGTCACCATGTGCTTTGTTTTGTTTTTTTCAATATCTGTTACAAGTATCATGCATGAGGTTTGCTTTGGGTGCTATTTCACACACACAAAGATTGAGGGTCTTCATTTCTACATATAGCCATCAAAGGGCAATAACAGCAACAGCAGCAGAAACAAATACACTGTAGTGTAACTAGTTGAGGCAAGTGATTATATGTGTCACAGACACTCTGAAAAACTAGACCTTCATAATTATCTCACGCTTAATGCAAAATGATTTGGTTGAATGCAGAGGCAGCCTATATAAAATTTACAATGACCATAACTAAATGAAAACAGCTATGAACTACTATGGTTCATAGCTGTATACTAGTCACTTGTGTAATTTTACTCTTGCTTGCTTATATATATTTTTGAGTGAGGAGAGAATATATATATTTGTCCTATCTGAAACCAGGTTCTAGTTGTTTCTTTTCCCACTCATAAACACTTTCTGAACAACAATAAAGGAGGGAGAATAATTTTCTAATAAGATACTCAACCCAAACATGTCTCCAGAATTGACAGCTCTGTTGCAGAGTTCCCACAGGGAAAATGGCTTATATCGAGCCAGAAGAATTGCTTTTTTTACTCCCATCAAATCAATATAAAGGATACAAAAAGGTTTTTAAAATGGCTTCACAATCAGCAATGGTCCATGGTCCAAACAAGGAAAGCTTTTCATGCTGTAGCTGAGAAATTACATTCCCCCACCCCATCACACGGAAATTCAGACTATAGGCTGTTGGTGCTCAAAACACAAAGAGCACTACTTTCTACAAATGCATTTTGCCAAGAATGAACAAGTCACTCTGTGGTGGTGAACTCAGAAGTGAGAAAAAGTTGACTGTGGGCCTACTCACCAGCTGAAGAGTGGTGTTCTAAAATTTAGGAGCCATACAGCATATTTACATTTCACTTAGGAACATCTGGGGACCCAAGGTTGGGAACTACTGTTCTATATTGTTCACAACCACTGCTAAACCAACACAACTGTATTTGGAAACAGTATGGCTATGCATTTCCCAAGAATTCATTCCATACAAGAAAAACAGTTTATTTTACCTCAGAGATTTGAGGTGAGCAAGTCTCCTGTGTCCACCTTTCTACACTGCACTCCCATGGCTGCACACACTGATTCCCACACCAGCCACAGTTCATGAAGGAAGGTGACAGAAGACACAGACTGCAGGTATTGAAGTGAGAACATCCAGGACCATTCAATGGAATCTTGGTTACCTGATGGTAGAAACATCATTCCAAAGGCATATTAATTAGAGGACAATTTGCACTCTAAACTGTCAGTACAGGAAACCAGCAACACTTTTGTGGTACAATCTACTCTGAGCTCCCTTTCCAAGCGTAAGACATGCATAAAGTCATTTAAGACTAACACAAACCAACAAAAGCCCAGGAAATGTTAACCTCCATTCTTTTTCTTAATTCATTGTTCTATGGTGCTCTCAATAGCTTACACTAAAGAAAAAGAAAAAGGTGACAGCCCTGCATCTACATTTCCTCTGTTTGGCTGGTTTGCATTAGTTCTCCTGTTCAAACAATTCTCAATATTCATTCACCTGCTTCCTCGAGAAGAAAAACAAAAACAGATCCAAAGGGGGAAAAAAACAACTTGCTATTCTATTTTGGTTTGGGAGGAAACAAATAATATACACAAGGGTCTGAAAAGGCTGCAAAAGAAAATAATTGTACTCCAAGTATGGTGTTAAGTAACCTAAATCACAATGGTATAGTCACTGAGCAGCACAGAGAGGTTATTTTCCATGAATTACAGAACAGTTTTTGTATTTCAACATCTATGTTCAAATGTAAAGACATTTCTGCAAGTTTCAGATTTTATATCTATTTTTTAAAAAAGGCTATAATGGGTTGGATTTCAAATCACATCTGAGGCTTTCCAAAACCTGCTGGTTTCCTAATGAGCAGTTGCCAAGCAGTTTCAGTCTCAATTTTACACCTATGAAACAATGCACCTTTAAAATATTTTGTAAAATGGTCAACAACTGGAACAATTGTCATATAAAGAGGTCTCAACAAATGCATAATGATCAAATAGCACAAAGTATTAAGAAGTATTTACCTTCTTTCCAGTGACTGCTAGCATGTAACCATCATTGCCTGGTAAATTCTCCACAATGACCTCTGGAGAAACAGGTTGCAAATCTAACTGGAAATTCACATATGGGGTCGTGCGTTCTGACCGGGAGATCACTATCTAGAAAAAAAAATTGAAAAAGAAATAATTTATTTTCATACTATCTAGCAATTTTTGTCTACTTTTATTGATTCTTCCTCGTAAAGTACCAGCACTAAAATGCATCACACTGGAAAAGGAAGGAAGGAAAATAAAGCAGACCATAAGAAGCATGACTGTTAACATGCACAATCAGCTTAGTATAATTGTATCTATTGCATTTATATCCTGCCTTTCCTAAAGTACTGTACTTTCAAGATGGAATACATGGCTCTTTTCCCCCACTTCACAGTGACTGACCCATGGTCACGCACTAAGTTGCATGGCTCAGTGGGGATCAGACCTTAGATCTCCTGTACCACATTATAGCATTATAACCATTAGAGCACACTGATTGTTTTTGTTTGTGTGCAGTATTAACTAAATACTATCAAGTTTGGCATGTTCCATTAAAAATTAAGGGCAGCACAGCTGAACTCTTCAATGAGTCTTTAAGGTGCCTCCATGTTTTTGTCTTTTTTATTTTCATTTTTTATTTTTTGCTGTTTAGCTTACAAGATCTATGAAGTCCTGTTAAAGGCCACAGAGTTACTCTAAAACAATCTTTTTAAAAAGATTGCCATAATGATTACCTCAGATGTGTAATATGAGGTGCAGCTATTTTAGCTTCACTGGCAAATTTTGATAAAGGTTTATGGTCATTAGAGGACAATATAGGGGGAAAAAACCTTGATGAAGCTGCGATTTAAAATATATTTCAGATATATTCTGGTTTTTCTGGACAAGACACAGAATGAGAATGGATGAACGGCAAATCTGCATGAAAGCACAGATTAATGTTGGCATTAGGGAGAGGTAAGTCCACCGCTGAAAATACCTTTATAGTGGATCATTAGCTATGTTATCACTTCAATGTCCACTGTTTCAAAATACCTAGAATGTTTTTTGTCAGTTCATTCTGGGTTCCTCCTCTTGTCCAATTTTATTTCTTGACTACTAAGTTACAGTATTAACCCGTACAGCATTTCTAGGAGGTGCCCATAAAAGAAAGCCAAAAGTCTTGTTCTGCCAAATGCTGAAAGTCTTATTCTGGTTTCCATGGTTCCAAAGAGCCACTTTGTGCTTCAGTAGGGATTCACCTTTATTTAAGCTGAAATTCACAGTGAGGAAATAAGCTTTGCCTTGGCAATCCTTTTTTATTTTTTATTTATTTGTTTATTTATTGTTGTTGTTGTTCTTGTTGTTGCTGTCGTTGTTTAACAGACAAACAAGCAATACATACAAAACATATATGCAGGGAAGTGTTTACCATAGTACAATATCTAATACATAATCTTGACTCCGTAACTGTGTTACAGTACTAAAATCTTTAACCTATGTTATATTCTCTACTCGTGTTTATTTCTGGGCTCAATCATAAAACATTTTTCAGTTTTCTTTAACATAACTTCTCAAATTCTCAGATAATATCCATAACAAGCTATCCCATTTGAAGCCCAGATCTACCTTGTAACTATAAACATTTATGACCACATATGTTTACTAGTTTAAAGGTTATATATACCTATGTAATTTCTTATATAATTTTCTTTTTTATCTGTCTCTAAAATTGTTTTACGCTATCACTTATCCACCACCTATACAAAAGAGAGCCCTAAATTGCTGAGAATATTTTTAACCTGAATTTCTAATCTCTAACACCCTTTTTGCCAGTTTTGAAGCGCCATCTATAGAACATCTTTAAAACATTTTCTCTCAAATTTACTGATTCAATCCATCTATAATTATCATTCCACATTTGAATCCAATCATATATGTCTAAATTATAGCCAAGATTTTGTAATTTTGTACCCTTCCATCATCACTGCTTTCACTCTTTCCTTCTCTGAATTCTCTTCTAACAAACAAATATCATTTTTTCAATAATCTTCTCATTAGTATAAATCCACAGCTCATCTACCTGGACCTTCCTCTCCTAAAAGCCCATTATTTTATCTTTCTTCAATTTTGATTCTAAAGTCTCTTTTTCTGTTGCTCCCACGGCTTTGATGAAGTGGTCTTCCTTCTGAATATTCCATTCCACGTCCTCTTTAAATCCTGAAGTCGCCGCCTTAATTTCTAGCATCTGGGCTTTAATCTGATTCTTAAATTGATTGATAATGTTCATTTGGAACTCCTGTATATAGTTCTTAAAAGAATATTGCATTATTAACTCTGATGGACTTGTACTTTGACTAAAGGCTGTCATTTCTGTTTCTTGGGTATAGATTTATTGTAAGATAACACTTCCCACTGGGAAATAAAACAATTCAGCTTTTAAAAAGTTCAGATACTTTGATACCGCTTCTTATAAATTCAGCAGGCCTGTCTCTCCTTCCGTCTTCTCTCAAGTTCACACCACCTCCACCAAATCTGCTTTTTTTCTTCCTGTGCTCCAAATTCAGTCAAGAGCCATAGAAAGTAAAACCATTGATCAATCAGTCTTTGTGTTAAATGGATCGGTCCAGGCCCAAACGTCCACTTAACACATCCAACTGTAAATCCAAATTCAGTCAGGAGCAGTTGTAATTTATAATCTACCATTCGCAGATCACAGCTTTTTGGATATCAGCACCCAGAATTCTCCCCAAGTGCCTCTCTTAAACACTCTCTTTAAGAACTCAAATCTTCTTAAAACTCTAATATGTTATATATGCCATGGAGGGAGGACAGGGGGATAGGGAGGGATAAGAAAGTGATTTCCATCCATGTCTTTTGACTTTCGTTTCTCTTTAGAGTATGAAGCAGTTAAAAATCAGTCAATGTTTCAGGGATACAATAACAAAACCATTTAGAAAATAAAGTTCTCCTTTTGATTTCAAAGAGAGATTGAATAACATCTAATTTGTCTCTTAATTGCTCCAATTTAGCTGGCTTTTGTTCTTGGGTGGTTTTTTGTTGTTGTTGTGCTCTTTATTGCTCCTCCACTACTTTCTTTATTTCTTCTCTGTTTTTAAGTCAGCAGCTTCAGTTTGAGCTGTGCTTGCTCATGAGAAATAAAAGGCCAGTTACTCACAGTTCATGTAGTCTAGCAAGAGTCTTCTGCACATTTCCCACCTTGGCAAAGTCAGGCAGCTAATTCACCAGAAATGGCATCTCCCAGACTAGAAGCTTTGAGAAAGGAAACTCTCACGAAGACAGATTGCTACCTGAATTCGGAGTTTTTCCAGCTCTCCTTCGCTGTAAGCCTACTCTCCTGTAGAGCTTGCCCCCCCTTTCCACTGCTGGGGGGGTGTCTGCTGACCTGGAGTTTACACAGGGGTCCCCAGAACGCCCTCTGCTCTCGCTGCCATCGCTCCGTCTCCTCTCTGCCTTGGCAATCCTAACCAAAAACTACATTCCTTATTGTTAGTTAGGAAAAGGTGGAGTCAATACACAGTTATCACTTTCATTCTAGACTGAAGTTGAAATCATTATCACATCCCCATTTATATCAGGTATAGCAATAAAACATTGAATACTGTATCTCTATCATTATCATTACCTGCCTATCTCAGAAGCATCACATCCATGGAGGAAGAAATCTTCCTTGTTGCACGGTACTAACATTCATTCTAGAATGAAACTAAGGTGACTTAAACTCTTGCAGTAGAAACCTGCCAAAGCATATCACTGAGCCTTAGTATGTTGTATTGATTTTCCACTCTTTTGTAACAGAGGCTCTTATTAATTTTCAATAGTGGTCTCTTCCAAACCTTCCACTTGATACTCTTTTACTGGAGAAGCCTAGAATACCTGGCGGGACCATAAAAACATGCATAACACATACGCTTACATTGGGCTACAAGAATGTAGTGGGCATGTCCTGTGATGAAGCAATTAATCTAGCAACATTATTTGACTTTATATTTTTTTTACAAAATGATGGGGGAACTGTATGCATAAAAGTATTTTAGAATACAGGTAGAGGTACATCCTCATGTGTCCTCCAATCAAAGTGTTAGCCATGCCCAGATATGCTTACCATTAGATTAACAAATAGAGTAATCAATAATAATGATGTGTCAGAGATCCAAAGCAGTGGCAACCCTATTGTTACAAATAAGACCTTGCCAAGTATCTGGCCCTTGCCAAGTTCAGGATTATACAGGTTTTCTTGAGGTAAATTCAATAGCTAGCAACACATAACAAACTTTTCCTGACTCAATGGCTGAGTTAAGATTTATAACGCTGACTGTGCTGAGAGAAGCATTTTGGTACTGAGATGTAATCAGAGACAAATGTGTAGTGGCTTTCCACAGCAACCAAGAATATTTCAATAATTGCAGTCTGTGGAGATGGCAAGTACTGAAGATAAAAGATCAAGAGATTAATGGTTCAAATTATACTGGAAATGAATAATCATCTTGAAGTGTATGGCTACCAGCTAAATACTTTCCAGCATTTTTTATTATTCTCCATTGATTCCAGTATACTATCAGAAGTTTTGACTACCAGTTAAATTACACCAATGTCTGCATATTAAGAGTACAGTTATTTCAATAAAATGCATACTGTTAACTTTTGTAACTGTAACTTCTTATCAGACTATGACATCTACAAGAACTATCACTCTGAATGCTTCTCAAGATGTTTTCCATAAAAACAAGAGAGTTGATTAAAATCTTGCCTTCTCCCCCCCCCCCCCCCCCCCCCCCCCCCCCCCCATTATCCAGAACAGATATACCCAATGCCTATTTTATTGTATTTCACAGTACTGTATATTTAATACAGCCTTTCAAAAGGGCATATTTATAGATTTCTTAGAAATACTGCGTATCATTCTAATTCAATGAATACAGCTACTTTGAATGCTTTTTCCATTTAAAGAAAACATTAGAATAAGAAATTCTTTCATATCACCTATGAGATTCCAAGTTTTAATTTAATTTACTTTTTAATCTATCCCAGATCTATTGTGCTGCTCAAAACAACTGGAGTGGGCTGACTTTCAGGGAATTACACTTCTCTGATCCAAGTTTGTCACCACTGTTATCTTTAAA